TTGGATCATTCATTTCATAGTTAGGAAGCAAAAGAGAGGAAGAGACAGGAGTCTCACAACACTTTCAAGGGCACACTCTCAATGACCTAAAGACATCACACTAGCCCCACCTCCTAAAAGTTCTACTTCCTCCCATAGTGCCACCCCCCCCCCCCCCCCCCCCCCCCCCCCCCCCCCCCCCCCCCCCCCGGGCCAAGCTTTAAATGCATGGACCTTTGGGGACAATTAAGATCCAAACTATAGCAGGCCTTAACATTCCCAGATTCCCAGAAAATACATTGCCAGATTTTTATCCTTCAGGCAGGAAATCTGATGTCAATTCCCTCAAGAATCTGACCAGTCAAAGAAAAAATGTTAAGATACCAAACTCAGAGGCTTCCCAGTGAAATGGGTTATTCAGCTCACCCTTGTAAGCCTAGAACCACAACTCAGAAGAAAGCCAAGATAAAGGTCCATTGCAGATTGGGGGTGGAGGAGTCGCATATTCCATCATTCAGTCCAGGAAACATCTAACTGAATTGTTAAATCTACTCTCAGAGGGATTGTCCTTATTGAGAAACCTCTGGCCCAGGCATTGGCCCCTGGCTCCCCCGGGTTTGACCAGCCTTGCAGAACTGAGGTCTAAGGAGACACAAGTCTAACATAAAAGGGCCCTCATTGCTCTTTAGTGTTGCTTTCCTTTCAGTTAACTTTTGTTAACTCCCATAGCAATTATTACATCTTTTTCACTTATTTAATCCCTGAACTCTACCTCCAGCTCCCTTATTCTCAGTAAATTACCTTGCCTCCTACATTACTGAGAAAATGAATGCTATCTCATATAGATGTTTGTTCATGAACAAATTGCCCTTCAAATTTTTCTACCCATTGTCTTCTCTTCTAGATAGAGGAGATTTTTCCTCTTTGTTGTCTAAATATAATGAGTGTAACTATCTCTTGATCCTGTTTCATCCAACTTGTCCTGGACCTTGTCCCACCAATTGTTACTCCCTTGTCTTGCATGCTTAATTCACTCCCTTTGCCCACATATGAGAGTATGTGTAGTGAATACCATGGGCCACTCAGATTCCCCTTCAGGACTGAAAGACTCATTCACCCAGATGCCCTCAGCCAGCAGCCCTCACCAGCAATGGCAGCAACAGAAGACAGTCATCTTGCTGTTGGTCACACCTCCTTCTCTGGGCAGCACTCCTCTAATGAGTGGTTCATTTAGGAGATAAAGATCCAGCCCTTGAATCTTTATTTGGGACAATTCTAAAGCTTCAGAGCTTCTCACAAATTGACCAAGGTCTTCATTGAGACTGTATCACTGCCTGGTGACTCCCTCAGCCCAATCCTKTCTCCTTTCCTTACCTCTTGCAAATTGTTAAACTCTACAGCCTTTCCTAATTATCTTCCTCTATGCTAATCTCTATCTCAGAGTCTGCATCCCAGGGTCCTTTCCAGTGTGTCTGTGTAATAGGGGCATTTAATAGTTTGTTAGGTGGTACCAAGCTGGGCTTTAAAAAACTGCACAAATTTGTATTTCCATCAACAATGAGAAGTGCCTCTTTTCCTATACCTCGCTCTGGTAGATACCATCGTACTTTTAAATCTTTACCATTTCAAAGTAACAGATAGTGTCTCATTTTTGCTTTATATGTATTTTTTAAATTGAGAAAGAGTGAGAATATTTTCAAACATATATTGGCTATTTATATTTCTTTCCCTTTCATCTGCCAATGTTCTTTGCCCATTTTATATTGTATAACCATCTTGTAAATTGATTTGTATGTGTGTGTATATCAATTTTTAATTACTCTTTGTATAATAAGAAAATGGTAATACGTTTTCCAGTTTGCTGCTGATTTTGGCTTTGTGGGTTTCTTTTGGTCATTCAACAATTTTGTTTGTCATTAGTTAATGGCATTGATATTTTCCCTATGCCTCTTTGTTTCTGTCATGCATAAATTGGCATTCCTTGTTCTAGGGCTTGCAAAATTCACTAATATTTTCTTCAGAACTTAGTTCAAATTCCATTGCTATCACAAAGATGTATTTTAATGCCTTTGACTAATGCCAAACCCTCTAATTCTTCTCTTCCTTTATATAAAGCACATTGCACAACATATTCTTCCTTACATTCTAGTTATTTTTATTTTCTAAACCCATCTATTAGACTGAAACTTATTGAGGGAAGGAATTCCACTTTAAATATTCATGTAAGCCCTTCAGTACCTGGAATGGCCCTTGCATAAAGTGATACATAAATGTTTAGTTAATTGATTAACTGGTACGGATTGATTATGTGGTTCTCTTTCCCAATCAGTTCTCATTAATAAGACATACATTTGTGGGATTTTTTTTCCCAACTAGTTATTTTCTTTTACTAGATAAACTTAGTTCCTCTATCTCCAGACCTGAGCCATTCTTGTCAAGGGCTGACTGTAAGAGCAGCACATSAAGAGTGAGGTCTCAGGTTATGAGACAGGTAACCAGAATATTCCCAGATGAGTAGGCAAGTCCAGGAAGGTGGTCCCTAGTAGCAGGAGTGGAAAGTGTGGAGCCATGATACTAAGTGGCCATCCTCCCCACAATGAAAATGGAACTAAACCTCCCAGTGCCACAACTATTCTGTTCCTAAGTGTAAYGCAGATTCCTCCTTGGCCATACAGTTAGCCAGTGAAGAAGTTCTTGGTGTTGAGGACCAGATACAGGTAGATAGTTAAGTCTCTCATTAATTCAGTACACTGAGTTACCAGCTCAGATGGATTAGTCATTGAAGTTCCCAGTCCTAGTCTTGGATTTGCTGGCTCCAATTCCTCTCTTTTCATTCTCTCTTGAGCCTATTTAAATATGGCTTTCATTCCACCAAAACTGCTTTTATCAAGGTCACCAGTGAGCTCCACTTTGCTAAATGTAATGGTTGATTCTGAGTTCTCATCTCATTTATCTGCCAGCAGCATTGGCCTGATTGATTTCTCTTTGCTCCCTGGGGGCTCCATTTGGCTCCCAGGATACTGCACTCCCCCAGTTCTTCTCAGACCTCACTGAATGATGTTCCTCCTCCTGTGCTGGTTTTTCCTCAGTTTCTTGCCTTCTTAACATTAGAGGACCCAAAGTGTGGTCATGGGACCTCTTCTCTTTTCTATCTGTATTCATTTTCTTGATGATCCTAGCCATTCTCTTGGTTTCTAATACAAATCTCTTTGCTGACAAATTCTAAATTTCCTCTAACCAGATTCACAGATCCAACTGCCGACTCAATATTTCATTTGGATTTTTAATAGACATCTCAAGCTTAATGTCCCCAAACTGGATTTCTGATCTTATCCCAGAGTCTGCTCCTCTCACAGTCTCTCCACTTCAGTAAATGACAACTCTATCCAACTAGTTACTCAAACCAAAAACTCTAGTGTCATCCTTCACGCCTCTCCCTTTCCCACACCCACATCCAATCTGTCAGCAAATCTACTCACTATACCTTCAAAGTACATTCAAAATCTGACCACTTCTTACCACCACTGCTCACCCTAAGCGATTATTTCTTATGTTCTTTCTTTCCTCCTCGTTCACCTGAGCGATAGATTGTGACTTTTGTGGAATAGAAGAAATAACACACATAAAGCACTTAACATAGTGCTGAGCAAACAGTTAGTGCTCATTAAATGTTAGCTCTCCTTATTATTTCTGCCTTTTGTTTTCTGCAAGCTTTCAAGATTTGAATAGTAAAATTGAAGCCATAAGCTCTTTTTCATAACAACTGAATGTTATTGTTCAACAAATGAAATTTCCATTTTTAAGTTTTCGACTAAATGAGTTGAAGAATGAAATGTGTTACTGTGTTGATGGTTTCCAAAGAGAAGAAAAGTCAAAATTAACTTCACTCTAGAACAATCACAAATAAGAGCCAAAAAAGGATTGAAGAAGCACAATGACAATTTTTATCATTTGAATTCTTCTCTAGCCTGATTAAGAGTAATTTTCAACAGATCAGAAAGCTTTGGCCCAGAATATATTTCTAATCCAAGGTCATAAGAGATTATTGCATAGAAGGATACAGCACTGGCTTCACAGTCTGAAATAATTTGGGGGATAGGAGGAAACTCACAGAATGTTTCTACAACAGCAGCTAGCCTAATAGCCATCACTTTGATAAAACAAACAGCCTCCTTTTATTAACCCAAAGTACCCACTAAATCTATCATCCCAAGTCATTATTAATAGGTAAAAGGATTCTGGAAAATCCACAACAGTATTGCCTGAGGTGTTAGCAATATATGATAGGTATGAATTATATATAAAACATCTCAGGTGAGTACTCAAACGCATAAATTAAACACATGGATACACTAATAAATTAGGATTAATCCATTGCTCTGAAAAAGCAAAAAAATGTTTTCAGAAGATTTAGCTTGTTCTTTAATGCAGTCACTTTACTAAGATACACAGGAAATACAGTATTTGAAAATAGGTAAGAAAAATAATCTAATTTAATTTTAATGATTTTGGAAAATCATATTTATTATTTATTTGTTCAGTAATTGTCACAACATACATACACATACATATGCATACATATACATACACACATACACACACAGAGACACACACGTACGTACATGTACATGTATATATACGTATAATGCTAGGTAATGGTGAATTGCTTTATTACTTAACCTCTTTGTAAAAATATTTTGATCTTTTTGTGTATAAGAGCTAGATAATAGTGACTTTAGAGTGTTTTAAGAGAGGGAAAATAATTTTAATATGAAATAATCAGGAATTAATCTTGATAATACATTATTAGCTTTTCTTCATCTATGTTTAATTATATATTATGCTCTGTGGTATTCTTAGAATAATATACAAAATGTAAACAAATTTATATATTACATTATATGCAAAAGTTACTTAGTAAGTGTGAACTCCCATTAATACCTAATGTGGGATCATTTTAATTGATCCACATATATTTTATATGCTAATTACTCTTGTTTTTGTTTTTGTTTTTTTTGTAGGAAGTCCTGGCTGAGCAAAATTGGGAGTCCTAGTTCTCGCATTGACCGCACAGAATTTTCTAATGAGAAAGCCATCTCTAAACTTGAATACTCTAATTTTAGTATTCGCTACTAATGGAAGAGAAATAAAATTGTAATGCTTACTTTGCACAAGATACCATATATTCTTAAGTCCATATTCTAGAACAATAGTACCAGAGTCAGATATAAAAACAGGAACTTTCTGTTCTGAAAGCTGTAGAACTGTAGGTAACTAAAAATGTCTGACGCTGAAATAATTTTGCTCAAGAATGTTTTTAGCTTTCAAAAATATAATATTCTAGTTATAAAATACTTAATATGAACACTCAATTCAAGCTTGTCTCATGGAATTTTTAATTTCAGTGAACATTAGCATACATGTTATTTAGCTAGACTTAAGAGTTAACCATCTAAAATTATTTTTAGGTATTATTGCCTGAGAAAATTCCAATGCCTTCTAAATATAATTTATTAAAGCTGAGCAATCTGTTATTGGAGCCTTTAAAAGAACCACTGGTTAAAATAAATGTATGTGATGATCAATATAAGATCTATCAATAAAGAATTAATTTTTAAAATTCTGATTAAACATAAACATGTTTCAGTACTTAAGTGGGAGCTACTTATTGTCTTCTTTGAACTACATTTTTCTGTATCCTGAAGAATCAGCCTTGGTGATGGCACCAGTAAGCGCTCACAATTGCAGCATAGTAAGTAGCAAGATTCTTATCTACTGCCCTCAGTGGATATCCTAGTAACCAGAAAATGAACTGAAATTCTGAACAAATCATACAATATTATCCCCTAAAGTTGGGCTATCATTTGGGGGGTCTTCAAATGTAAGTGATTATTAACAACAGAGTATTTTAACAGGGAAGTTTATTTCTGTATCATAGAATTATAATATTGAAAAAGGAAGACCTATCATGGAAAACACTAAGGAAAATTCAAATGTTGTAGGTGTGTAGCAGTGCATATTCTTCAATGATTTCCAATTTTTTAATAACAATGGAATCTTTCATTAAAATAAAAATTGGTGTGGAATTGAATATATAAAAGAAGAAACAGCATAACTGGTGTAATTGAAATGGGGATGAGGGAGCAAACCCTTGGGCCCTGCACATTGGTCTCCCCCTCCTTCTCTCTTTTCTATTTCCCTTGGGAGTGCAGGTTGTAAATTATCATTTTATCTATGAAACAAACGTCCACTACTATACTCTTAAGTCATGGAGAAAAAAATTCAGGCCTCTCCCCTGTACCTGCTGCAAGGTAAGAATTAAGAGGTGAACAGTGGGCTGGATTTGTTCACTGCAAACTCCATGGAAAATAATAAAACAGACACCAAATACATATAAGACAATACAACATAGGGAATGGCATTCCAAATATACTTAAAGGGACAGAGAACATTGCTGTTGTTCAGTACATGTGTTGAACATAATGCAGGAGACTCTATTGAGATATTTATCTGAATTTTGCTTTCCTTCTACTTGCTCACTCCAGGTTCCAGAAAGGTAAACAAGTCTTTGTGTTCCCTTACTTCAGAGGTTTTGGTGTCAAATGCTCCTGAAGACAATTTTTCTTCCAAGGTTTTATTTCAAAGAGTGACTTTTGTTGTGTGTTGAGAAGAAAGATAAACATTGGGCCTCTAAGCAAGTAAAAGAGAAGCAGAAATGATGAGAGCCAAGGGCACAAGGAAATTGTTCAGGACTTTAGAAAAAGAGCAAAGGCTGTACCTTTTCCAAGCCATAGAGAACTGCACCTTTCTTTCTTGCAACACCTCTAGGGGTGGCTAAGCTGAGAAGGGAGCAGCTGTGGCACCCAGAGAAGCAGGATCCCAGGCTTAGGGACTATCAGTCCTACCAAGGTTCTGTCACCAAAAGTGCCGGAAAGCATTCTACAAACACCACAGTGGCTACAAGGGACCACAGTAATAGTTCCTTGGATAGTAGTTGGCATATAGTGGATATCAGATAGGTCCTTCCCGAATGTTTTCTCTGTATAAGACTCTCTGTGTGGTCTTTCTGAGAGGGTCCAAAGCACCAGAGAGAACTAAGATTTCTCTCTTTTTTTTTTTATTGATTGTTCAAAACATTACAAAGCTCTTGACATATCATATTTCATACATTAGATTCAAGTGGGTTATGAACTCCCATTTTTACCCCAAATACAGATTGCAGAATCACATCGGTTACACATCCACATTTTTACATAATGCCATATTAGTAACTGTTGTATTCTGCTACCTTTCCTATCCTCTACTATCCCCCCTCCCCTCCCCTCCCATCTTCTCTCTCTACCCCATCTACTACAATTCATTTCCTTGTTTATTTTCCCATTCCCCTCACAACCTCTTATATGTAATTTTGTATAACAATGAGGGTCTCCTTCCATTTCCATGCAATTTCCCCTTCTCTCCCTTTCCCTCCCACCTCATGTCTCTGTTTAATGTTAATCTTTTCCTCCAGCTCTTCCTCCCTGTTCTGTTCTTAGTTGCTCTCATTATATCAAAGAAGACATTTGGCATTTGTTTTTTCACTTCCCAATTCCAAGTCAGAAGGGGCTTGAAGGCTCGGTTTGATTTTGGGAAAATGAAACAGACATTTTTTCACACTGAAGTTTGGATACAGTCTTATTGTCTACATATAAAAAGGCTAAATGATTTTTTAAAAGAAATATGATCTCAGAATTAACACTGATATATTCACTTTCTATTGTCCTGATGGCCTTTTGTAATTTCCTTCTCAACTTTCTTTATAGAAAAATCATGCTTTGCTGGAACACTCTTCTAACTACACAAAATGAATCACACTAACCAAGACTATTTAATAATTAATAGATCATTCTATTGCTGGGTGGAAAATATTGTTTAAGATGATTGAAAAATAGGTGTTGTGAAAGGTAGAAAGCAAGAGAAGTAAATATAAAGCAATATAAAAATGTGTTAGGCCAGATGCAGTGGCCCACACCTGTAATCTCAGCTGAGGCAGGAGGATCCTGAGTTGAAAGTCAGCCTCAGCAACTGTGAGGCACTAAGCAACTCTGTGAGACCCTGTCTCTAAATTTAAAAAAAAAAAAATGTGTTAGGTAGACCAGATAACATAACTTAATAGTAAACTTGGTATTTCAAATTTCATATTGAATTTACATAAGAAAATTTTAATTTACATATTATATTATATATAATTGAAAGGATAAAAGAAATTGAAGTTAAAATGTAAAGGACCAGGTATTGTTAAGTTTCTATGCTACACTCAAAGCCRGAAATTCCTGTAGCTGTTAGGACAATTCCCGGGACTGCCCATTAGATAGTCCCCCCTGACCACTTAGTTGTTTAATAACCTGGACCCTGTGCAGCTAGGCACCTCAGGGCCCAAACCAATCAGTTTGAATGTACCCCCCTGCTTGGGACTGACCTATCACTCCCGCCCGACCTGTTCCCGCCAATGAATGTACTAATCATGTTTGAGAGTTGTTGTTTGATTTTCCCTCGCCTCATGATGATTTGCTCTGATGTATGCAAAGCCCCCGCCCTCCCCAAAAAGTGTACTTAAGCACTGCTTAACCCCTGCTCGGGGCTCGGGGCTGCTCTCCCTTCTTGAGTGAGCATGGAGCCCCAGCATGCTGGATCTGCAATAAACCCCCTTTTGCTCTTGCATGAGTCGGTCTCTTGGTGGTCTCTTCCTCTGACGTTTGCGGACCCTTACATAATAAAATGTCTTGATAGGCTTATTTTTGTCAGAATTTTTTTTAAAAAAAACAAGAAAAAAATTAAGCAAAAGATTGATACCAGCTGGGGATATAGCTCAGTTGGTAGAGTGCCTGCCTCACATGCACAATGCCTGGGTTCAATCCCCAGCACCACAAGGAGAGAGGAAAAAAAAGATTGATACCCAATTCAGTAACTATCAATGAGGGGTCTCAACATTCCACATACCCGTACACATCACCCCTCAAGAAACTACCAGAATCCCAAGGGGCATGATTTGTAAATGCATATTATTTTTTCATATTTGTATAAAAGTGCCTATCTTTTTTAAAAAGCTAGCTCAAGAAGTGAAGCTCAGTAGAATCTTCTTGGCTAGAGAGTATGTGCAAAAGACAGATTCTTACCCAGCTGGGCACACAGAAGGGACAGAGGTGTGGGAAAGATATGGGATTTTTCTTTGGGGAAGGGTACAGACTTCTAAGCCAGAGAAGAAGCAATCCAAGTTTCATCTGAGACTGGAAATCTCTAAGTACAGGGGAACACCCTATGACTAGAAGAATTCACAGTAGATCTTTGTGTTGCCAAAGGGCAGATAAGACCCAAAGGAAGGGATGAACAGATGGCTGGTGAATATGGGCAACAATATCCATTAGTTTAACTTTGCTGGAAGTGGTTCACCATTTTTATGACTTAAAAAAAAGTTTTTGAAATGGGATCTCAGTATAGTTGCTCAGATTGATCTCAAACTCCTGGACTCAAGTGAACCTCTTGCCTCACCTCCCAATAGCTAGGACCACAGGTGTGTACCACTGCACCTGGCAATGATTAAATATTTTTTCAATTTTGTCTAGTGAAGGAATTTTTCAGAAACATGTATCTTTAAACTCATAGAAAAACAATTCACTTCTAAAAACTAGCTTGTTTTTGGAGATATATTGGCCACAAATATATTTTATATACTCTATATACTCTACATACTCTATAGTCTCTGTTAATATAGATATCAGAGAATGTTCTCTCTCTAGTAACTAATTTCAGGAACTAAAAGCAAGTGGCATGGTATAGAAGACTGCTTGAGACTCTGGAGACTCACACTCTGGGTCAGCCCACCACTGATTAGCAATGTGCAAAATCAAGAAGTTCGACTAATAAGAAAGGACTTCTTACAAGGTTCCAGTGAGCCAGAGGACTTCAGGGGTTGATGCCAGGAGAGTTACAGAAGGCCAAAGAGAGAGACAGGCAGTTTGATCTTGGCCCAGGTCTGTGATTTTCACTCCAATCATCTGTAAGACATCTTTTAAGAATTCTAGGGCTGGGACATAGCTCAGTGGTAAAGCATTTGCCTAGAATGCATGAGGCCCAGTGTTCTATCCCAGCACTGAAAAAAGAAAAATTCTGCCTCAAAGAAACAAAATCAAAAATRACAACAGGGCGGGGGTTGTGGCTCAGCGCCTAGCACGTGCAAGGCAGTGGGTTCAATCCTCAGCACCACATAAAAATAAATAAATAAAATATAGGTATTGTGTCCAACTACAACTAAAAAAAAAAGTTAAAAAAACAACAAAGACACCAAGTTTAATATATGGGGTGTTCTTTTCTAAATTTCCAAAAATGATAAACTTAAATATATTCTCCATTCTCATGATTACTTCTTTCAAGCCAGCGTGGCAAGTATACTAACCTCAATTCATTTCCATCAAAAATATATAGTGAGAATTACTATTGGAAATAAGTTCTTATTCTTCATGGTGGCCTCCGTAAAGGTGCATGGTGGCTAACATATTTCTGAAACTGATGTTCTGTTGTCCTTTGTTTCTATTTTTATCTTACCCAGGTAAAAAATATAAAGGAGAAAATGTAAATATATAATTAGTGATCCATTAACATATCCTTTATAAGCAAT